TGACTCTTGATTTTGGCTCAGGTCATGATCCCAGGGTTATGGGACTGAGCCCCACCTTGGGCTACATGTTGTGCATGGAGCCTGTTTAAAATATTCTCTCTCTCTCTCTTTCTCTCTCTCTCTCCCTTTCCCTCCCTCCCTCCACTTCTCGCTTCCTCTGTCCCTCTAACCAGCTCTCTCTCTCTCAAATAAACAAATAAACACATAAATAATTTTTTTTTAAAAATGCACTTTTGTGTGTGCAAGCACAAAATGAATGAGAATGATACAGGAGAAAGGCTTAAGGAAACCCACTGAGTCATGCAGTTAGATCACTCATTAAATGTACATCATTGGGACAGAAAGTACGATCTTTTCTTGCACACACACATTTATATTTTACTTTTATGATGGTAAAAGGCACATCACATAAAATTTACCATTTCAGCCATTTTTAAGTGTACAGTAGAATAGCATTAATTATATTCACGTTGTTGTATAACACATCCTAGACCTTTATCATCTTGCAAAATGGAAACTCTGTACCTATTAAGCAATTTCTCCTCTCCCGCCGATTCCTGAAAACCACCATTCTACTTTCTGATATTATGAATTTGATTACTTTAAATACCTCATATAAGTGGAATCACTCAGTATTTGTCTTTTGGTGACTGGCTTATTCCACTCAGCATAAAATCTTCACATTACGTTCCAGCATCTAACTAGCTAGAACTATCATATTCTAGCACGTGATAGGATTTCCTTTTTAAGGTAATATAATATTCCAACATATGTATGTACCATATTTTCTTTACCCGTTCATCTGTCATCTGCCACCTCTTATCTACTGTGAATAGTGCTGAAATGAACATGGATGTGTGAATAGCTGTTCAAAACGCTATTTTCAATTCTTTTGGGTATATACTCAGAAGTGGGATTGCTGGATCACGTGGTCATTCTATCTTTAAAATTTTTTTAAATCTCAATACTCTTTTCCACAGTGGCTCACACTGTTTTATAATCTCACCAACAGTGCACATGTGTTCCAATTTCTGCACATCCTCACCAACACTTGTTATTCTGTTTTAAACAGTAGCCATCCTAATGACTGTGAGATGGTATCCCGTTGGTTTTGATTTGCATTTCTCTACTAATTAGTGATGTTGAGTATCTCTTCATGTAAAAGCCTGCACTTAGAAAAAGAATTTTTTTTTTCATGTTTGTTTATTTTTGAGAGAGAGAGACAGAGCATGAGCAGTGGAGGGGCAGAGAGAGAGGGAGACACAGAACTGGAAACGGGCTCCAGGCTGTTAGCACAGAGCTCGACATGGGACTTGAACTCAGGAAGTGTAAGATCATGACCTGAGCTGAAGTCGGAGGCTTAAACGACTGAGCCACCCAGTCATCCCTAAAAGACTGCACATTTAACCTTTATATTCTGTTGCCTCCTTAAAACTTGGCTTCCATATGTCTTAAATGGGCATAATAATATCTAATCTCTCAGCAGTATGATGAGGATTATGTGTCCTATAGTGTCCTATATAGTAGAGGATTAAAGCAAATTAAATAATATAATGTACATAAAGTGTTTAGCCCAGTGCCTAACATGTAGTAGACATTCCATAAATGGTATCTATTATTATTTACATATAGATAAGATACTAATATAATTTTAGTTTATATTTTTAACAGCTTGAGGTATGATTTGCATACAATTATATTCCCTTATTTTAAGCGTACAATTTTTAGTAAATTTACAGAAGCATGCAACCATCGCCACAATGTAGTTTTACATTTTCATCCCCCTACCCCCAAAAGAACCCTTGTGCCCATTTGTAGTTACTGCCTATTCCCATCCCAAGCCCCAGGCAACTATCTCTAGCTTTACCCTTGTTGGACCATTTATATAAATACAAGCTTTAGGGGGGCGCCTGGGTGGCTCAGTTGGTTAAGCGTCTGACTTCGGCTCAGGTCATGATCTCGCGGTCCGTGAGTTCGAGCCCTGCGTCGGGCTCTGTGCCGACAGCTCAGAGCCTGGAGCCTGTTTCGGATTCTGTGTCTCCCTCTCTCTCTGACCCTCCCCCATTCATGCTGCCTCTCCCTGTCTCAAAATAAATAAACATTAAAAAAAAGTTAAAAAAAAAAAAAAATAAATAAATAAATACAAGCTTTAGGGACGCCTGGGTGGCTCAGTCAGTTAGGCATCTGACTCTTGGTTTCGGCTTGGGTCATGATCTCACAGTTCAAGAGTTCTGTGCTGCTAGTGTGAAACCTGCTTGGGATTCTCTCTCTCCCTCTCTCTCTGCCCCTCCCCCACTCATGCTTGCTCTCTCACTTGCTCTCTCTCAAAATAAATTTAAAATAACACTTAAAAATCAATCAATAAATACAAACTATTTCAATAGTACACAAATGCTTATCTTCTATTCATTTCTTCACCTGCTCTGTTGTGCTCTTATTATCATATACATTATGTCTTTATACACTGTATGCTGATCAACACAGACTTATAATTACTTATAATTATTGCTTTAAGCAGTTGTCTTTTAAATCAGAAGAAGTTACAAACAAAAGATATATTTTTACTGCCTTTCATATTTACCTATGTAGGTACCTTTACTAGTGTTTTTCATTTCTAACAGGGATTGAAGTTATTGTCTATAGTGTCCTTTCATTTCTGTCTAAAGATTCCCATTAGTATTTCTTAAAAGGAGGGCGGGATAGCACTGCATTCTCCCTGTTTTGTTTATAATGGAATGTCTTCATTTCTCCTCCATTTTTGAAGGACGTTTTTCTGGATATGTAATTCTTTGCTGCATTTTTTTTTTAGCACTTTGAATGCTGCCCCACTGCCTTCTGACTTCCATGGTTTCTGGTGAATAGTTAGGTCTTAACCCTATTGAGGACCCTTGTATGTGATGTGCTTCTCTCCCATTGCTTTTAAGATTGTCTTTGTCTTTCAGAATCTTTACTATGATGTTTCTAATGTGTGGATCTCTTGCATTTACCCGACATGAAGTTTGTTGAGCTTGGATGTGTAGATTAATGATTTTCATCAAATCTGATAAGTTTTGCAGCCATTATTTCTTTAAATATTGTTTCTCTTTTCTTCTCTCTCCTCTTGTTCCGGTACTTCAATTATTCACATGTTGGTACATTGGATGGTGTCTCCTATGTCTTTGAGAGTCTGTTTGTTTTTCCTCACTCTTTTTACTTTCTGTTCCTCAGACTGAATAATCTCAATTGACCTTCAAATTGGCTGATCCTTTCTTCTGCCTGTTCAACTCTGTTGTTGAGCCCTGGTCTTAGTCAGCCTGGCTGCCATAACAAAACACCATAGACTCAATGGCTTAAACAACAGAAATCTGTTTTTTCAAACTTATAGAGGCCAGAAGTCCCAGATCAAGATTGCCAGCCAGTTTGGTCCCTGGTGAGAATTTTCTTACTAGCTTACACATGGTTGCCTTCTCACTGTGTTCTTATGTGGTAGACAGAGAGAGGGAGTTTTCTGGTGTCTCCTTTTATAAGGGCATTGATTCATCAGATCACAGCTCTATCCTTATGATCTTATTTAACCTTAATTACTTCTTTACTCCAAATACACTCAAACTAGAGACCAGGGCTTCAACACATAAATTTGGAGAGAACACAATCTAGTCCACAGCAGCTCTTCTAGTAAACTCTTCATTTTCAGATATTGTAATTTTCAACCCTAGAATTTCTATTTGGTTCTTTTTTTTATAATTCCTATTTCTTTACTAGTATATTGCATTTGGTGAGATATTGTTCTCATATTTTACTTTAGTTCTTTAGACATGGTATTCTTTAGTTCTTTGACGTATGTTGATTTAAAGTCTTTGTGTAGTTAAGTCCAATGTCTGGGCTTCCTTAGGGACAGTTTCTATTTATTTATTGCATTTCCCTCCTGTGCACGGACCATGCTTTCCTGTTTCTTTTTCATGTCTCATATTTTTTTGTGGAAAACTGGACATTTGACATAATGTAACATGGCAACTCAGGAAATCATATTTCTCCCCCCTCCCCAGAATGTGTTGCTGTTGCTATTTACTATTGTTGTTTGTGTCTTTGTTTAATGAGTTTTCTGAACTAATTCTGTAAAGTCTGTATTCTTTGTCATGTAAGGCCATGAAAGTCTCTGCTTAGGTAGCTTAGTGGTCAGCTAGTGACTGGACAGAGATTTCTTTAAATGCATAAAACCAAAAAGTCTCTTAGTATCTGCCAAGGGGTTTGTGTGTATGTTGAGGGACCCCTCAACATTCAGCCAGGCAGCTGACAACTCTGTTTTAGCCTTCACTTCTGGTTTATTCTAAGCCTCAAGGTCAGCTACAGGTGAGGTCTTAGGGCAGTGTCAGGTCTTTCCTGAGCATGCTCACAGCCCTGAGTATGTGTGGCCTTCTACCTTCCCAAGATTGTGTTGGAGCTTTTCAAAGTCCCTATGGACATCTCATTCCCAGCTTTTTAAGTTTTGTGATTAGCCTATTATTAGCCCCAACTGTTATCCATCACCTCAGGCAGCCATGAAGTTAAGCAACCGCCTCTAAATGTTTTCAGACATCCCAAGGGAAAAGCTTTTCATTTTGGAGACGGTTCCAAGTCAGGTCAAACAAAGATAGCTTAGAGGTAGAATCTTCCAGAAAACCTCCAGACAGGTCAAATCATGATAGTTCTCTGGGAGTGAAGCTTTGTATAAGCTCCGATGCCACTGTCTCCCCTGATGGTTGCTGGGCTACTGGCCTTCACCTTGCTGGTGGGCTATTGTTTTTCAAAGCTACTGTGGAGGTGGGGGATGGGAACAGAGCAAGCTGATTGCCACAAAGCCTGATGTTCTTACCAAAATTCAGCCATTTTTCTTGAATAAACACTTTTCAGATTGTTGTAAGCCTTTGATCAATGTCTAGGTTCTAACATACTTGATTCTAACCATTTTTGCCAGATTTCTTATTGCTTTTACAGAGGAGAGAATTTCTGGAGGTTCCTCTTCCACCAATTTTGCTGGCATGTCCACTCTCATATAAATAGAATATGTGGTCTGTGTCTTGCTTCTTTCACTCAATATAAAAGCAATATATTGCTTTTGAGGTTCATCCATGTTGTCATAGGTATCAATGCTTTGTTTCATTTATTGCCAAGTAGTATTCTATTGAATGGATGGACCTGTACAGAAATGTTAAAATATGTCTACAGATTCAAAGTACTTGAAAAGTATCACCTTGAGGTATCAGACATATTTAAAAAAATTTTTTTTTAATGTTTATTTTTGGGAGAGAAAGAGAGACAGAGCATGAGCGGGAGAGGGGCAGAGAGAGAGGGAGACACAGAATCCGAAGCAGGCTCCAGTCTCCGTGCTGTAAGCACAGAGCCCTATGCAGGGCTTGAAATCACAAACTGTGAACATCATGACCTGAGCCAAAGTCGGATGCTTAACTGATTGAGCCACCCAGGCACCCCTTAATGTTTATTTTTGAATGTGTGTGCAAGTAGGTGGGGTAGAGAGAAAAGGGGAGGTGAGGATCTGAAGTGGGCTTCTGTGCTGACAGCAGAAAGCCCAATGCAAGGCTTGAACCCAAGGACCACTAGATCATGACCTGAGCTGAAGTCAGAGACTTAACCGACTGGGTCACCCAGGCACCCCTGGACATACTTAATAATACAAGTGGAACACTATTTTAAAGAAGTTGTCATAACCAAGTAAATGTAATATGTTTTATGATTTCATAAGCTTTCCTTTATTTATTTATCTTAATCTTATTTCTTTTGGTATTAGACTGTTTTTGTGGCTTTTCTATCCATTCATCCCAAGACTTTGTTGGCCACTGAGGAAGGCATGAGATCACAGCATTTACAAGCTCACAGGGTTTATAAGACAATGATAATTACCTGAAAACAGGAGAGACCATGCTAAGTGCCATATAGATAGTATAAACAAAGCCCTATGAAGATGAAACTCTGTATATTCTACACAATTTATATTTTAAATTTATACACATGAAATATATGTCTAGAAATATAATTAATATTTTGAATTCATAAAATAAGTCAAAACTCATAATTGCTTGAAAGGACTAAGTTGTAGAAATGGAGTGTTACTTGGCAATCAAAAAGAATGAAATCTTGCCATTTGCAACTATGTGGATGGAACTAGAGGGTATTATGCTAAGCGAAATTAGAGAAAGACAAATATCATACTTCACTCATATGAGGACTTTAAGATACAAAACAGATGAACACAAAGGAAGAGAAGCAAAAATAATATAAAAACAGGGAGGGAGACAAAACATAAGAGACTCTTAAATATGGAGAACAAACAGGTTGCTGAGGGGTTGTGAGAGAGGGGATGGGCTAAATGGGTAAGGGGCATTAAGGAATCTACTCCTGAAATCATTGTGGCACTATATGCTAACTGACTTGGATATAAATTAAAAAAATAAATTAAATTAAAAAAAAGAAAAGATGCTCAACATCAGTCATCATTGGGGAAATACAAATCAAAACTACAATGAGATATCACTTCAAATCTGTCAGAATGGCTGAAATCAACAACACAAGAAAAAACAGGTAGCTGCAAGGATGTGGAGAAAGGAAAACCCTCTTACACTGTTGGTGGGAATGCAAACCAGTCCAGCCACTCTGGAAAACAGGATAGAGGTTCTTCAAAAAGTTAATGGTAGAACTACCCTATGATCCAGCAATCACACTATTGGGTATTTACCCAAAGAATACAGGACACTAATTCACAGGGATACATGCATCCAATGTTTATAGCAGCATTATTTGCAATAGCCAAGATATGGAAGCAGCCCAAGTGTCCACTTACTGTTGAGTGGATAAAGAGGAGGTGTAACACACACACACACACACACGCACTGGAATATTATTCAGACATAAAATAGAATAAAATCTTGCCATTTGCAATGACATGGACAGAGCTATAGAGTCTAATGCTAAATGAAATAAGTCAGTCAGAGAAAGACACACACCATATGATATCACTCATTTGTGGAATTTAAGAAACAAAACAAACAAAAAAACAAGCAAAGAGAAAAAATAAGAGAGAGAGAGAAACAAAGCAAGAAACAGATGATTGATTATAGAGAACACTCTGATGGTTGGGGGGGGAGTGGGTTAAACAGCTGATGGGGATTAAGGAGGGCACTTGTCATGATGAGCACAGGGTGATGTATGGAAGTGTTGAATCACTATATTGTACACCTGAAACTAATATAACACTGTATGTTAACTAAGTAGAATTAAAAGAAAAACTTAAATCTTAAAAAAAAAAAGAACTAAGTTATGGAACAAAAAGGATCATCAAGAACCTTTTTTATGTGTGTTTTTCCTTTACCTCCACCACCTGCACACGCACGTGATACAGACGGTCTGGCCGTGGGTTATTTGGCTCCTCATAGATGATGGACATGTGCTGACCCTGTTTAAAGAAAAACATGAGATACGTCACAAGGATTAGTGAATGGAAACAGAGAAATAATACCTAATATGGTGCATGTTCGCAAACAGGAAACCAGGAAAATTCCCTTGACTGAAAGTGGCTATAAAGATGGAATTTATTTTATTTTATTTACTTATTTATTTATTTTACAAAAAACCATGCTTTGCAGTCAATGCATGAGGTGACTTTCCATGACGGCTGACAGGTCCAGGCTGTAGTAACCAGAAAGTGCTTTGGTGGGTGAGTTAGTGAGGAGGGTGGGGTGGGGAGAAGGGCTATGTGCAGGCTGCATAGACAGGTTGCTGCAGAGCTGGCACGTGGGGGAGGAAGCCCCCATAGCCCACTCCCTGGGGGATCCAGTCCTGCTCACTCTCAGCCTCTGAACCTCCCTCCTCATAGCAGGGGCTCTTTGGGACTCCTGACAGGGCATAATGGGAAGGTCAAAACCCACCAACACCTCCACCCCAAACCCTCACACAAAAACCCCAGCTTTTCTGTTACAAACCCAAACCCAAAAGGGTTCCATTCGCTAGTGCTGGCATTTCAGAAAGGAGACCATTATCTGCAATCACAATCACTGAAAAGCTTAATCTAAAAAACATGCCCCGTAGGCTTTTAATTATGGTGGTTTGGAACAAAGCAGCAGACTGAATGCTTCATGAGCCTAAATTATTTTCCATCTTTGGAGGGAAAATTAAGAAGAAATTTTGGTCCTCACTTTTCCGTGAATTCCAACTGCCTGTGTAATAAACTCTTTGGCAATAAAATATTGGTATATTAATGGCCCGAACTTAAGATATTCTGAAAAAATAGGAAACTGAAATACAGCACTGCCATGATGGCATTTTTATTATGGAGCTATTTTTTTCCTCTAAAACATTTTTGGGGGCACCTGGGTGGCTCAGTTGGTTGAGCTTCTGACTTCCGCTCAGGTCATGATCTCGCGGTTGTGAGTTCAAGCCCTGCATCGGGCTCTGTGCTGACAGCATGGAGCCTGGAGCCTGCTTCGCATTCTGTGTGTGTGTCTCTCTCTCTGCCCCTCCCCCACTCAACTTCTGTCTCTCTCTGTCTCAAAAATAAAATAAAGATTAAAAAAATTTTTTAAGTCTTCAGGGCCTCATTTTCAACATGTTTTACAAAGGTTCTTTGAAGTTTTTGAAATGACAGTTCAATAAATTTGGGTGCCAGTAAAAACAAAACACAACCCAGCAGTGCCTAAACACAAAAATTGGCCAGAATGCAAGGCTCTCAGCTGTGACGAGATGTGTGAGACTCGCTCGTCCCTACTGTACAGGGAATGACACACAAAAACCTTCAGGAAGCTGGAATTGCACTGCATTAACCACAGCACATAAACCAGAAACGGCATCAAGTTCAGGCTCAGGCACCTCAGTTCTGTTCAAGACACTGGGCCCTGTACTTTAGGAGATTCAAAGCAGAATGTGACGTTGACCCTGCCCTCGAGGAATTTTCTAGGTTGCAGTTGTAGACTATGTGGCTGGTACATACTGTATAGATGTCACTTCTCTTCTCAAGAAACCAAAATGGCTCCCTACCGTCTATATCAACTCAAATTCCTTATCGTAGCATTAAATATCCTCTTTCCCACCCTTCCAGGTTTGTTTTCTATGACTCGGGAATCACTGTTAATACAGCCAAGTTGGACAGGTCACCCCTTGCGCACTGCCTCTCTGCCTTGGTCTATCCTATTCTTTGCCCCTGGAAGGGCACTTCTCCGTCATGCCAAGGCTTAAAGTTCTGGCCCCCGATTAACCCTTTCCATGAAACCTTCTGTGGGCCTCTCAACTACATAAGCCCCCAGTTGGACCCCAGCTGCCACAGAGTCTTGTTTGAACTTTACCTCAAATGCTTATTGTTCAGTGGATTGTAGCTATTTGCATATGTCTTTCATCTCCCTTCTTAGATTACACTCTTGTTAAAGACAGGGTCACCTGTCCTTTAGGAGCCCAGCAATGTGGCCTTGTAAACTGGAAGGTCTCAAAAACATTTGTGAGACTGAATTGAAAGATAGAAACATACAAATAAGTTTACCATGAAGCAATAACTTAAGAGAAGCAAGAGTGAGATACAGTTACATTCTTTGGGAGGGGAGACAAGAGAAACCACCGGGGCTGGGATGATCAGGGGAAGCAGGATCCTGAGGAGGGGCTACCTGCTCTCAACTTCCTTTGTAGTTGCTATAAAATATTGGAAATGACTTAATACAACTTTCTTATAGGCCACTGATCAAGATGTCCTAAAACTGGGTCAGCAACCAACTGCAACTGCCACTTCCAGCCACTTGGGTCATGTTGTGATACCTACAGTGAGCTGCACATCCGGCTTCTTTTCTAGAAGAACCATGTCGCCAGGTAGCCCAAAGGACTTGATTTGGTAGGTGAGGTAACCACCATAGGAAGAAACCTAAAATTGGAATTGTAGGATCAACAGCACAAGCATTAGAAGAGCCTATGGCAATATTAACCCACATAACAAGCACAAAGGTCCATCTGGAAAGATACGATCAACCTGTTCATGGTCGTCTTGAGAGAGAAGAATTGAAGATAGTATTTGAACTTCTACTTTGTACCATTTTATATCACTTAAAATGTTGAGCACGAACACCACTGCGTTTTACAAGCAAGAATATGCTTCTGTTAAGAAGATGGGGTGCCTGGGTGGCTCTGTCGGTTAAGCGTCCCATTCTTGGTTTTGGCTCAGGTCATGATCTCACAGTTTGTGAGTTCGAGCCCCGTGTTACGGTCTGTGCTGACAGCCTGGAATCTGCTTGGGATTCCATCTCCCTCTCTCTCTGCCCCTCCCCTACTCACTGTCTAGCTCTCTCTCTCAAAAATAAACACTTTTAAAAAAGAAAGAAAAATAATAGTCACACAGAAACAAGTAAGATCCTTCTATTCTAGATGACTACTAAACCAAAGTGTTCATTTAACCTATAGCTATCCTAATAAATCTAGGCCACTGGTTTCTTGTTTAAATGACAGAACTGGTTAATATCTATCAGTTATAAAATGAATCTCTAGAAACAAAATTTTTAAAAAATTTCCCCCAAGAGCAGATGGTGTGCATTTCCTAAGTGATCATATATTCCCCTGGGTACAGAAGCCATGTCTGACTGCTCCAGTAGGTATACAGATTTTTCTCAATGCCACCTAAGCAGCATGATCATGGTGGAGGCATGAAGTCACAGTTTTATGACAGCTACTTCACCTCTGCTCCTGACACTTCCCACCCTTAAGATGAAAACCAATCAAGAAAGGAGTATTTGAGAGATGAAAATAAGAGGCAGTGATCACCTCAGAGCAGGGGCAGGACAAAATACCCTTCCTGGAAAACAGAAATAACCTGGAGCAGGGGAGGAGAACACCATTACCGAGCCCTCAGTTCACTGACGTTCCCTAGAATCTGCAAACTGACAAAGTCACAGAGTTATGATCTTAGAGTCTGGAAGTATTCCAGGGTAACATCTTAAATCATCCTATTGAGATTAAATATTGTCTTTCTGATGGGCTAAAGTGGTTTTTAAAATATGTCCATAAATTCTTTGATACTCTTGTCTTCAAGAGGTGGAGCTTAGTTCTCTTCCTTGAGTGTGGGCTGGACTTAGTAACTGGTTTCTAGCCAATAGAGTAGGGAGGAAGGGAGGATATGTTTTTGCTGCAATTAGGTTATAAAAGATTATGGTTTCCATTTTGAGTTTCTCTCTCTCTCTCTCTCTCTCTCTCTCTCTCTCTCTCTCTCTCTTGCTCCACATCTCTATCTCTGTCTCGTTTTCTACCCATTGTTTTAGGGGAAGGCAGGTGCCATGTCACAAGGACCCTGAGGTGGCCTATGGAGGCCTCATGTGATGAGGAACTGAGACTTCCACTCAGCAGCCAGCAAGGAACAGAGGCCTGTGGCAACCACATGAATGAGCTTGGAAATGGAGCCTCCAGTTCTGATGACTCCAGTCCTGGCTGCCATCTTGACTACAACCTTATAAGAGACCCTGAGCCATCCACTCCTGAATTCCTGATCCACAGAAACTGGGCAAGATAATAACTGTTTGATGCTTTAAGCTGCAAAGTTTGGGGGTAATTGTTTGCATAGTAATAAGATAACCCATGCATGGGCTCACTGTGTGGAGGCCAAGAGGGGTATTAAGTGAAGGAGAAGAGGGGTCATATGAGAGAAGCAACATTCCCCGAACTCAAAGGTCAAAACCCAAAGTCCTTCAACTAGAAGACAGAATTAGAGCCTTCAGGCCAACAAGGCCCTAGTATGTAGTCATTCTAAGCGAATATGGTGCCACCTGAGCCGGGCTGTGTGGAATCTACACCTTCTGGAAAGCTCTACCTTCTGCTACCAAGTGCATGTGCTACCTGCCGCTGGTTCTACAGGAAGCCCACAATTCCATTGTCAGAAATGAGTGTCATGGGCCCGGCAGCAAAGGAAGAGCAATTCGCTTATCAGCTCCCTGAAGAGCATCTAGCTAAATGCATGTGACTCTGCTAATGACGGCTGAGGTGCCACCGGCTCCTGTGCTTCTTGTAATAACTCATGAGTCACTTGTCAGCTTTTGTTTTCCTGACAAGGAGCCTTTCTTCTGCTGTAAAACAAAGAATGCTTACCATTGGCTTTTAAAAGCACGTGTCCCATTTGCAACAGATATTACCTAAATGGTTAAGCAAAAGTGGAGAAAAACGTGGTGCGTGGTTTCCTTCGCTGGTGAGCTAACACTTGTGGGGTACATGAGGCTCATAAGCCCCTCCCAGCAGAGGGGCCACGTCTTTTCTGCACTTGTAGTTCATCTAATTTCTTCAGTTTCAGTAGCCTGAACTTCCTGACGCTTCTTCCAGACAGTCAATGATGCTCACACAGTGATGAAGGAGGCCCGGCGAGGGCTCAGAAGGACAACAGGACGCCGTTACCTTGTCTCCCAGGTAGGAAAGAGGCGCGACCCAGGACGCACTGTGCACGGTTGAGGGCAGCTCCTGGAGGTCCGCGACCACACTGCTGCTGCCCGGGTTGAATGAGACGGGGATGTCTGCTCTGTCTGCCGTCTCCAGGCGCCAACCCATCATGTCCACAAACTGGAACACAAGAGCAACGACGGAAATGTACGCCTGCAGCTTCTCTGGTGACGGCTGAATTATGCAGAATAGAAGGACCAGGGGGTGGCCACCTTGCTTCAAAAGCTTCACTTTGATGCCTCCTCTTGAGCTCGCTCTTGGATTCCCATGACAGAACCCTCACCTGCCACTGCCTCCCTCTGACCCATCACAACTAAGAATGCTCAGACCGTGGGATCACAGTATGTGGAATTTATCTTTGCCCCAGCACACATCCTGGTTTTGACATTTAGTAGCTATTTGATAAATGTTCAAATCGCATATAAATAAGCGTGGGAATAATAACTAGGGCCGTGGGCACATTTTAATGGTGAGCTCCTTAGAGAGCAAACATGAGACGGAACAGAGTGGCCTGCTATCGTTATTTTTCTCTAATGAATCCTTAGGACCAAATATTTTTCTGATCATAAAGGAAGCCAAGAGTTAAAAGATGAGGGAGGGAAAAAAAAAAGGAATTGACAAGACATTGGTTAGAAATAATGCTTCTGGGTTCCCCTGGGGGTAGAAGACTTCAGTGGATTTACAAATTAATTGTTCCCCCAGTTACAAGCCTACATTCCTTTTGGGAGGCAGGCAAGGAAATATATAAAATAACTTTTCCTTGAATCCTTGTTAGACAGAAGACATTGCTCATACAAAGAAGGCAAGCACGAAACTGCCAGTTCAAGGAATAACAAGGGCAGCAAAAGTTTTAGTTTCATGGAGTTAATTTAAAAACTGGCCAAAGATGTGGTAAAAATAAGCGAGATGGAAAGTAAAACAGAAAGAAAAGAAGCAGAGAAAAAGAAGTGGGAGGGAAGAACAGCAAACTCCATTCATTTCATGAGTGTTTCTTGAACACCTATTGTATTCCAGACCCTGCGACAGGCGCTGGGGGTGTATCAGGAGCTTGTATGTTAGTGTTGGGGGAAGATACTTAAATTTTAGAACTAACTGGATAATATGTCAGGGAGGGATAAATTCTACAGAGGACATGAAGAAAGGTGAGGATACAGAGCGGGCAGGGTGAGCTATTTTGTACGGAGTGGTGAGGGAAGGCCCCTCTGAGCCCAAGACCCTTGAGGAGACCTGACCAACTGAGGGACTGAGCGTGAGGACATCTGTGGAAAGAAGAGCGCAGGCCTAGGAATGGCGAGGGCGAACCTTAACATTTTAACAAAGTAACATATAAAATTTCCCCAAGCCCTAGGAGGTACTAAATAAAAACAAAACGCTAATTCCATACATACCTTAGCTCTTCTTTTATGTGTACTGTGACAATTGTTATTTATTCCAAAACAAAAGCAGCGGGTGCAACCCACGGGATTTGCTGGGTCCAAGTAGAAGGATCCTTCTCGACACACATTACATTCCGTACCCTCCACGTTCTCCTATTGAAATAAAATGTGAAACAAGATGATGGTTTCTTCTAAAGCTTCCCGGATTGCAATTAGCTACTTCCACACATTAATGCCAATACGAGATGTTAGAACGCGGATGCTAACAAGACATGGAAAGTTATATAACTGCTAAGCTTTTATATCACATTAATTGTTTAAACTATTCTACCACGCTTAAGTGAAAGACAGAATTTCACAAGGTGCCCTTTGGCATCTTGAGGGTAGAGAACTAGCACCATAAGGATTCACAGTATGGGGAGGGGGGCTGGTTCATTCCACTAACTACCACCTCAAAACATATGCTGGGACTTAGGAGCTCTCCTAGCACCTGGCAGGATGTCCTGGAGCAGATTATTAACTTGAGGTCTATGGGTCAGGAATAAGCTTCTGGGGAAGCTCTGAACCTCTTGAAATTATAGACTAAAGTTCAGTGTTAACTTCTCTGGAAAGGATCCAGATCAGTCTTCTGGTTCTTAAGGTCTACATCTTCTCCAAAGGATAGGCGGGGTCTTCCCTTGTAACTATTTCTATCAAATGAGATAATAACTATTAAATGCTACATGCCTTGTGGAAATCCACTGCAAGTCAGTCCCACTTCCCACATATTTTTATGCGTTGACCCGACACGAAGAACTTCCTCACTGGCCAGTGGCTGGCGCCCCTGGCATCACGTGTTCTGCCTCACCTTGCACAAGCAAGCTCCGGTTCCTGGGTTGCAGACCCCTGGCTCAGTCCCATTCCTGTTGCAATGACAGGGGACGCACTCGGGGAAGTGGTAAAACCCAGGAGCACACTGGTCACACTGCCGCCCTGTGACTCTGGGCTTGCACCTAGACCCAAAGCAAAGGAGCAAAAGTGTTCATCGTCTTGGCCACACACTTCTGAAGTCCACCTGCACAGCAGCAGAGCAGTTCCTGCACGAAACCAGCTAAACACACAGTGTCTGCCCATGGGGGCTCACTGCCCAAGGCAGAATGGAAAGCAGCAGAGAAAAGGCACTTCCACAAAGCAGTCAGGAGGACCATCCTGGATGTCACCCCTGGGTCTGGCTTGTGCTGGACTCTGGGGGTGCAAGGACAGACACAGCCCCCGAGCCTACGTGGCAGGGCAGAAATGTGGACAACATGCACATGGGGTCTCAGCAGGGGTTGGGGGAGCAGCTCTGACCCAGGGTCCCGGAGGGAGGTGATGTGTGAGCTGAACCTAAAAAGGCAAATGTCGTGGGGTAGGAGTGGAGGCAGGTGTTCCAGACAGAAAGAACAGAGAAGAACAGCCTGGTGTGTGCAGGGAGCACACGTATGAGTGGAGAAAGTTGACCCATGAGCTGAAGAGGGAGGCAGGAGGCGGTTCACGGGGGACAGAAGCGCTGGCTTCTGTGACGCTGTCTGGTGGAGTGCAGTGGCTGAGCCCTGTGCACCAAAGGCAGTCTGGCTGGAGCACTGATCCCAGCTCTGGCACCCAGCAGATACAATATCTTAATAATTTTCTAAGGCCCCATTTTCTCATCTGTGAAAGGGGAAATGCTAGCTGCTGCCTCCCAGGACCCCTGTGGAGATAGATGAGGCACCACGGCAAGCTCTTGGACAAGGGATCGCCATCTAGAAAAGTTTTAAGTAGGAAAGAGCGTGGTTGGATGTGTGTGTGGATGGAGTCAAGATGACCAATTCTGCAGCAGGCTGCGGAGTCAAGAGGGAAAAGGGGCTCAACTAGGGCAAAGGCATTTGGGATGGAGAGAAGAGATGGGTTCCAAGCTATTTTGGGGTGAGGCTGCTGGGGCCTGTAATGTTCTGAATGAGGGGAGAGTAGGCGGGAAGGCAAGGAAGACCCCCAGTCATCCAGACTGGGCTCCCGAGTGGATGCTGGGGTGGGCAGCGGCCCCTGTGCCTGGGCTCCGAAGAAGGCTCTGTGGGGAGCGGGGCGCCATCGACACGTCTGTGCACTTGGGGCAAAGAATGGAGGGGGAGGCACAGAAGAAGACGGAGTGAGAAGAGCAGTGAGCTGCCAGCAGAACTGAGAAGCCCGGCACCCCGCGGGGTGAAGAGAGGGAGAAGGAGTGGGTACCAGCTCCATCACTGAGCTCCATGGCTGACGTCTGGTGGGATCCACATGCTGATCTTTTCTTTGTGGGTCTAAAGAAAGTACTAGAAAATGTGCTTTATATCGTAACATTGGGAGTATAATCTGACACGAAGTATTTTACCACTAAGGTGCTACCAAAACCTATTAAAATATCTTACCCCAGGGACCATCCTGAAAAAGAGAAATCTAACTTTCTGTCCCACAAAGTTTGCCTTTGGCACATACCTGCTTATAATCAAGTACAGAATGTTGTGTGTGATGAGCACAAACTCGGGACCATGCAGCCCAGCCTTGAATCCCAACCTGGCTACTTACTGGATATAGAACCTTGAGCAAAGTAACCTTTTTACAGCTGAGTTTACTGATCTGTAAACACGGAGATCACAATATCTACTTCGTAGGATTATTGTGAGAATTAAATAAAACAATACATGGAAAAGCCTTAGAAGAGTACTGTGCACACACGTAAGAATTTGCTCCCATTATTCTTGCTATGGCATTGGCTAAGGGGAGCAAATGGGGGTCCCTACGTTATCCCACTTAGCACACCTAAAAAGACTAATTCATTTTACCTGCAAGGGCTGCTGGCAGGTCAGATGTCCCTGCGGTTCTTCCCAGCCCCACCCCCCTGGCCTTCCTCCCTACCTTACACCTGCAGAAATTCTTTCCATAAGGAAGCAAATATTCCAAATCACACCTATAGCAATGTAGGTGGAAAGTGTCAACACTCTGCTTCAAGTCCTCACTCCAGTGCGGTGGACAGAAACTGCAGGAGTCAGAGACTCCTCTTCAAAGCTGGGTAAGTTATGGGCCACTCACAGACTTCCTTCCTTCTTTTGTTTCTTCCTTCCTTCCTTCCTCCCTTCCTTCCCTTTCTTTCTCTCTTCCTTCCTCCCTCCTTCTTTCCTTTTCCTTTCTTTCTTCCTTTCATTCTTTCATTCCTTCTCTCTCCCTTCCTTCCTTCCTCCCTTTCTTCTTTCCCTTTCGTTCATTCTCTCTCTCTCTTTCCAACACACAAGTTTGCATTCACTATAAGAGGGTTCCTAGGCCCTGATTGATAACACCTGCTCTCTTCTTGTGACTCAGACTAAATGCAATCAGACACTCCAGCAAAAAAAAAAAAAAAAAAAAAAAAAAAAAAAAAAAAAAGTTAAAAAAAAAAAATGACTGGTCCCAGATGACTCCTTATTTCTGGGGGGGAGCAGTGACATGGAGCACAAGATTCTGGTGGTCTGGAGATGGGAAAGAAGACAGTACAGACACCTCCCCCCCTACTAAACTCCTCAGAAAGAGGCAACTTTGATCACAAGAGGAGCTTGGAGATGGCCTGACTTAGGCTGGGCAGGCTCTGCTCCTCTCACCTGCCCAGGAGGAAAAGGATGCTGTGCGAAGACAGTGCTATTGTTACAAACTGCCAACTGAGCACCTTGTCGAACCAAAGTCCATGATTCTTTTAGCATAGGTGCAGGGCTTCTGGCTTATGGGCGCCTTGATTGAATGCTGGTGCCAAACGAGCCCCTCACACGCTGAACGCCACTGGTGGACAAGGCTGAGGGTGGCCCCTGGAGCAAATGACCTGGACCTGGGCCTTGAAGACAAGGACAGACAGACAGGAGCCTATTTTTTATATTTTTCCCTTGAGTGGGAACAAAAGGTCCTGGAGTGTTTTACAGGGAGGGCAGCTGTGGAAGCTGCCTGTTGAGACAAAGAGAAACAGAAGCAAAATCATTCCTTGCCTAATTATTTCAGAATGCTGTGAGATGATGTGGTGGCAAGGAGAGGTGGGCTGAGGGCTTGTGGCCTGTCAGTGAGGGAAGGTACAGCTCTGGGCCTCACTCCGCACCCAAGCAGCAGCTGAACGCATAAGAATGGATGAGAAAAAACAAAAAGCTAAGCAGAGTGAGAAGAGCAGGGACCTGTGAGCTGACCCTGAGGACTCCAGGTGGGACCGACAGGGAAGGGTTAACCAAAACGTGGAGAATATAATATCAGGATTCTTGAGCACTGAACATATGAGTCATTTGCAGAAACAAGCAGCCAAATGACTTTTTGGTGGTGCCATGACAACAGGGAATAAAAAGGAAACTTCCTCTTGAAAGTCTGGCTGAACATCTCTTAAAAACTACCTCAAGTCAGCCTGACCTTGACACATTTCTCCAGAGAGATGCTCTGTTGCCCAAGGAGCTACCCTCCCTGCAAAGGCAAGAAATTTCCAGCGGAGGCTGCCTGGAGGTGCAGACTGGCGGCACCGGGGGTGCGGGTCAAGTGAATTCATCTCCAAGGCAATGGGCTTGTAGCCAGACCTTATTATATAACATCTGCGCGTGTGTGGGTGCTTGCTGTGTTGCACAAACAGCTAGAAAATCAGGTGTTAGAGTGAACTCTACCCTTTACTCATTAAATACAGTGGGTCTCTTAATAGCACACTCACACCAACCCCAGTCGTAATCTAGAATCCAAAGTCTACCTTATTCAGTCATCAATTCATTCAATAATCACTAAGTGCTTTCTATACACATATCCCTGTGTTAGGGGATGCAGAAGGGAGGGGATAAAGTAGAGTAAGTGGGTCTTGACCTTGGCACATTTTCACTGAGAACACAGGACACAGAGATGCAGAAAGTGAGGTAATCATGTGAGAAATGGGATGGGTAAGCATCTCATTTAGGCAATGAGATGATGAGGATATCTCTGCGGACTCATAGAAGGCTTCATGCCTTCTTTGAGTTTGTGCTTTTTTTCATAAAGATGGTTATTTTTGAGAGGAAGAGAGAGAGAGAGCGGGGAGGGGTAGAGGGAGAGGGAAAGAGAATCCCAAGCAGGCTCCGCACGGGCCAGCACAGACCCCGACACAGGGCTCAGTCTCACAAACCGTGAGATCATGACCTGAGCTGAAATCGAGAGCTGGACGCATAAACGACTGAGCCACCCGTGTGTCCCAAGTTTGTGCTTTTAACACATAATGCTTGAAGGATACGCGTAACAGAAGACGGGGAAGGAGAACGGATACCTGGAAAACTGAACATATATAGTGTTTAGAGGAAGTAAGAAAACCAAGTCGGAGAAGAAAGCTGAAAAAAGGCTTAAGTTAGGGTAGGTGGGGGCCATATTACCACGAAAGCCAGTCTTTATCCTATCAGGTTGTTGAGAAAGGTTCTTGTGCAGTGATGTGATGAAAGTGGCACCTGGCAGTTCCATGTGTCCCCAAGGCAACCTGCACACAACATGGCCCTCACCATGCCACACTAGTGGTTAGTATAGGTTCCCCCGTCAGACCATGACCTCTTATTAGTAGGCACGTGTACCTTCTGCATGAGGCACAGCACCCAAACTGGAGATGGTGCTAGATAGAGTTTGAGCAACAAAACATGCTGATATCTGACAAAATAGAATTTAAGGCAAAAAAAAAAAAAAAATCACAGTAATTGAGAAAAATGTTTCATTTGAGTTAAAAATACCAAGAAGATAAAATCATAAACATACATGCATTTATCCACATTACCTCAAGTTTTGTAGACTAGATTAATAGTTCTATGTATTAGTGACAAAATTATGGGGAAAATAGATTTTTAAATCCCAGGATAATTGTGTACTTAGCATATTCCTTTTCAGTTAAGCCTCCCCGCCCCGCCAAAAAAGGAATGAATGAATGAATGAGGGCTTCAGTAAACCAGGAAAAGGAAGGTCAATGAGGAGACCACCATTATCATTTAAATATGAGGGGGTAAAAGAACTTAACCAAAGTGGCAGC